AGTGATATTTGCACACCCATGTTCACAGCAGTATTATTCACAATAGTCAAAAGATGGAAGCAACCTGAGTGTCCAACAAGAAAATGAAAAAAAAAAAAAAAAGTGGTATTTTTACACAACAGAATATTACTCATACTTATCACTCCGAAAGAAATCCTGACAAATAACATGGATTAATCTTCATTAGGCTAAGAGAAATAAGGCAGCCACCAAAGGATAAATCCTATATGATTCTCCTTATATGAGGTACGTAGAGTGGTCAAAGTCATAAAGACAGAAGTAGAATGGTGGTTGTAAGGGGCTGGGAGGAGGGAGAAATAAAAAAGTTATTGTTTACTGGGTGCAGAGCTTCAGTTTTGCAAGTTGAAAAAATTTATGTGAATGTGTGTTAATGACAGATTCAAAACAATGTACTTAATGCAAATTAACTGTATACTTAAAAATGGTTAAAATGATAAATTTTAGGTAAATTTTAAAGATTAGAAAATATATATTTTCCAAGTAAAAATTTAAAAATAGTTGATTAAAAATTTTTTGCCCAATTTTCAGAGAAAAAATCTTTTCTATCATACTTTATATTATCTATGACTTACCTGTTCTTTAATATAAATAGAAGAAAATAAATGAATAGGCAGCATATAAGCATCAATGAAAAACTTTATGAGTTTCACTAGTCATACCTTGGCAGTTCTGGGAATATATAAATTCTCATGGCTATGATTTTAATATTCCAGGCATTCAAAAAAAACTCATTTTATTGTGATTTGAAAATAAAAATCGTCTTCAAAACCAACCAACCAACCAACCACAATTACCCAGTGACATTTTTACCCACAGTGTGACAATCCAGGAAATCTATTTTAATGGCTCTCAGCTGTGTAAAAGGTTATAAGAGCAAGTTTAATTTTAATAAGAGAAAAATTACTTCATAATTAGGAGTCTCCTATTGGGAATAAGGACCCAGAAGTAGAGTTATAACATCATTTCCCATCTTTATGGTAATTTAAAATGTATACAGTAATTTCAAATACAAGATTTCATTTGACCTTCATGTGTATCCCATTAAAGATAGGTTTTAATATAGCCATTTTAAGAATAAGAATACAATTTAAGTGATTTGACCAAAACCAGCTCACTACTAAGAGGCCAGAGCCCAAGTCCAAATCTATTTTTAAATTTCCCTAAACCTTAAATTTAGCTCTCTAGTCGAAGGTTTATTGATCTGTGAGGTGTCCCAAGGATGAAGAAATGCCCACAGCTTGGGGATCAAGGGCAGCAGAAAGGCAGGTACAGGGCGCACAGCGCACTGCCTCAACCACAAAGTATGATGCTTGACATGTCTACCACCTACCACTCAGGAGTATCAATGAAAATCAAGGGAAATTAAGTTCAAAAATATTTAAAAAGCAAAGTCACTTGAAAGGCATGATTTCCAGGATACTAAGATTCTATGGTCATGGAGACAGTTGAATGTGGAATATGAATGTGTATGCAAAAACAAAAAAAACCAAACATGACTGGTGTCCAAAGTGGGTTGGAGATATGACAAACTGATTTTATTTGTTTATTTATTTAAAAAAATTTTTTGGTGGGAAAGCAAATTTGCATTTTGCCCAGGTCCCAAAGAGACACTGATCTCTGAGTTCAAGATGCTAAAGGAAGAGATAAAAGCCTTAATGAAGGAGCTATAACTGAGTGTGCTAGAGGCTGAATATTAAATTAAATACATAATCAAAGGCATAGTGGTATACTTAGCCTAATTCTGGAGGGCACCAAGGAAGGATGGGGCTGAAGGATCTGCTAAGCCTAGACACTTCCTTCATCAGCCCAAGGTTTCACTGCTTCCTGACACTGGAGGCCTGTCTTCCTTTGTTCATTTCAAAAAGTGGGTGGGAGGTCTAGCTGGGGGTTGGCACAGACACTGATGGAAGGCTGTGAAGCCAGCAGTCTGGTTGTCTGGGTGATGGGGACAAATATGGAGGGTAAAGGGCTGCCAAAAGGCTTCCAGCCTCAGGTTCCATTTCATTCATGCATCTGATCTGCAAATACTGACAGAGTGCTGACCCTGCCAGGCAGAGTTCTTGGTACTGGTGGTGCAGTGGCGAATAAAACTCAGAAGTTCCACCTGCCTGAGGACACTGACACTGACGTTCTGATGAGGAAGGACAGATGATAAACAAAGAAAAACCAGACAATGTCCTGGTACGTGTTATGAAGAAAAAAGCCAAGAGGCATGACTGAGAGTTCTCTTTGGACCATAAAAGGTCAAATAACACTCAGAAATAGAACTTTCCAGGCAGAATACCAGCAAGCACAATGGCCCTGAGGTGGGAACAGGCTTATCTTGTTGAAGAAAAACAAGATTGAAGGGAAGAGTGCTCTGAGCTGAGGTTAGAGGGGGAGCCAAGGGCCACGTCAGTTGGGGCCTTGTAGGTCACAGTAAGAAGTCTGGATTTTATACTTAGTGACATGAGAATTCACTGAAGAACAAAGAAGCTACATGTTTGACTGAAGTTTTCAATAGACAAGTCTCATCTGACAGACTGAAAAACAAAAAAGACACTTGAAATTCTATTAAAATTTCCTATTTTAATAGTTTTTTTCTTCTTTTTTTGAGATGAGGTCTTACTGAATTGCCCAGGAAGGCCTTGAACTTGCAATTTTTCTGCCTCAGCCCATCAAGCAGCTGGGATTACAGGCCTATGCCACAGTGCCCAGCATTTTTTTTTTTTTTTTTTTGGTGGGGGGACTGGGATTGAATCCAGTGCACTCTATACCCCAGCCCTTTTTATTTATTTCAATTTTGAGACAGAGTCTTGCTAAATTGTCAAGGCTGGTCTCCAACTTGTGAGCCTCCTGCCTCAGCCTCTAGAGTTGCTGGGATTATGGGGCACTACACCAGCCATGCCCCGCTTTTCACAGATTTTCCACTAAAATCCAAGAGGAATTCAAGAGTATATAAAAGTCACTTTGTATTAAAATGTGTACCACTAATACTTTGTTTTTAAAAAAGAAAATAAATTTTATTTATTTTGGTGGGGTTCTTTTTTTGGGGGAGGGGGTCTTTTTTGGAACTAGGGATAGAAAACAGGGCTTTGTGAATTCGAGGCAGGTACTTTGCCACTGAGCTACATCTTAGCCCAACCACTAGTACTTTTGCAGGAATCCTCCAGAATGAAAAAAGTACAGAGGATCAGGAAACAGGAACAAAAACAATAAGGAGGGCAGAATGGCAGTCAGCTGGCTCTGTTGTCCCCAGACTTATCTCTACAACCTGGAGAAAATCTTCTGAGCCCTAGACATGTGCCTCTGGTTCCCCAATCTTGACCCAAAGGACTCCTGTGACAGTTGCAGACAACAGCTATTTGCCCCAGGGCCCTTATTGTCTATCCTGGGCAAAGAGACCATCTTTCTAGCTCCTGTAGCCCATGAGCCATCTGGGCAACAGCAAATCAAGAAGCTGAAAGTGTGTCAAAGAGACAACACCTCTATAACATCTTTCCCTTGTTGATCCCAGGACTGGCAGAACAGGGAGAAGAGAGGCCCAGGGTTTCATTTCCAATCTTCTGCACAAAATTGTCCAAGTATTGCCAGATATAAGTGAAATGTTTAAGAGAAAAAAGGGCCTACATTTGATTCTTTTCTTCCTTTTTCCTTAACCAACATCTACTAAATCATTCCTTGTTGATTTTAGATATTTTTGAGCTATATCCAGGTGCAGCAAGCAATAAAGTTACAAAAAACTACTGATCAAGGCTGCATTTGCTTCTCTTAGAAGGGTCATCAAATTGCCTAATGAAACAAGAGCTATCTCTGTACCCTTGCTGCAACCTGTCTTTGTTAAGTAGAGGGTAGGAATATCACAATCACTTCAAATCTTGAGGCAACCAATTGAATATCCTTAACATTTTGGGAGAGAAGAAAAACCAAACCAATTCCTAAATCAGTTCAAGGTCAAGACTCAGAAGTGGTAAAATTAGGAAAAAAGGAAAAATGAAGCAAAATGACTGCCAGCTGTGCAAAGAAGTTGAAGTTATTTATTTTTTCATAAAGGCAGACTTTTTTTCATCACAACCCCCCACTTCAGCTACCCTTCCCCCACCAAAAAAAAAAAAAAAAAAAAAAAGAAGCAAGGAGGGTAGCAGGAGAGAATTTCTGGCATTCATAAGCTCCAAATGGAAAATGTTCAATTATTATTGCAAAAGTAGTTTCAATCAGAACACACTAACCATTTCTTATTTTTTTTCAGACTGCTTATTTTAAAATCAATTATGTGGAAAATTGAAAGAAATATTTGAATTCCTGCAGTTCAACTTACTTCACACAGAAGGTTTTCAGGTAGTGGTGGAGTCTGGAAGGGAACCTAAGTCTCCAGACTCTCCCTGTCAACTCTTATTATGTATTTTTAGAATATAAAGTAAAAGCACATTACAGAAAATAGAAACTGGACAATTAGTCACCCACAATGCCATCATCATACTATATCCACTATATATATTTTGTTTCTTTTTCTTTCTTTTTAAAATTTTTTAAGTTGTAGATGGATACAATCTTTATTTATTTATTTTTATGTGGTGCTGAGGAACAAACCCAGTGCCCCATGTGTGTGAGGCAGGCACTCTACCACTAGCTACAACCCCAGCCCCTATATTTTGTTTCTTTATCACATGCTTTACAGGTCCCACCACCACATTCTTTTAATCATATTCTTTCTGATACACAGGCCTCCCAAATTACCATAAACACAACTGAGGATAAAAAAGAGAAGACTGATGAGATGGGATCCAATTTGGTATAACATGAACTAATTCGATTATGTTTGCTAAGGGCTGGTACCCTCCGAAGATAAGTCTGTCCCTCTTGCTGAGACACAGTAATAACTATACTATTAGGGCTTAGAATTCAGACCCTTTCCACAGGGCGTTTACAATATAATTCTGCAGAGGTCCTAGGACATAAGAATAAAGCTACTTAACCTTAGATCAGCTCTATTCACCCACCTGGTGCATCAGGTACCTGAAGAGGAATGAAAGGATCAGAAACGCTTAGAAGTGGGACAGCAGAATCCACAGTTTGCCCACCCTTCCTTTTCTCAGCTGGTATTGGTTGGAGGGAAAGAGATTAGGAGAGAAAAAAAGAAAAGCAGAAAACAGCAAGTAAATTGAGATGAATTAACCAAATTATAGAGTAAGTCTAACAAAAATTTTTTTAAATGGTACTAGAGATTGAACTCAGTACTTATCTCTTTTATTTATTTTTATTTTGAGACAAGATCTCACTAAATTGCAGAGGCTAGACTTGAACTTGCGATCCTTCTGCCTCAGCCTCCCTATTAGCTGGGATTATAAGTGTACACAAGGGAGTAAGTCTAAATAATCTAGGGTTAACAGCAAAATATCTATGAGATATACTATGTGTTCGTTTATGTTAATGAGATGTGATGAGTACTCAAACCAGGATATTCTTATGCCTAAGCTTCTATGTCTTCCTTGAACACTGTAGCCTATAGGGATCCCTTTCAGAATTCCTATGGGATTATTGTCCATATCATACATTTGGTATGCAGATACTAGCACATGTGTATAACTGCTTCCCCTGTACCTATCACCTCTTGGAGACCCTTTGGGAACTAAGTCTTGTTGTATCATCATAATATTTAATAAAGTGCTAGGCAGACACAAAGGAAGAGGCAGAAATAGAGTTCCTGCCTACTACAAGGGTTAGATAAGCCCTGACCCCTGGACCATACCTACCCTACTACTGGCATTCATTCTATATTTGGCAAATTACAAATTTCTAAAAATCTATATACCCTAAAGAATATCAGAAGAGATCTTAGAATTTTCTAGCACAATTTTCTTATTTTCCAGAAAAGAAAATGAAACCCCAAATTAGGAGACAAGCCAGAAGTCCACTAGCAGAGCAGAACTCAGGTCTCTTGTTTTTTTTTATATTATACTTCAGTATTCAGCTTGTTCATTAGTCATAATTTCATTTTGCTTTTGATAAAATATGTTTAAAATGGTTTTTTATGTGAAAAAAATTAAAGAATCAAAGGAAAGTGCTGTAGGTAGAGCCCTGTGAACTGAGCCCCCAGCTTCCCCTAATGGAGACACATACACAACTGTAGGTCAGCATCACTGGCAATGTGAAATACTGTTGCCTAGACTACTCTGTTTTCAACAGTTTAGTTTGGATCTGGAATGTTCCCCCAGAGGATCCCGTGTTAAAGGTTTGGTCCTCTGGTTTGGCACTACTGGAAGATGGTGGAAACTTTGAGAGGTGGGGCCCATAGGGAAGTTTTAGGTCATTGGGGTTGTGCCCTCAGGAGGGACTATGGGACCCTAGTTTCTTACTCTTCCTCCCTCTTGGACATGAGGTGAGTAGCTCTGCTCTGCCACATCATCCCTACCACAATGTGCTGCCTCACCACAGGCTCAAAAGGAACATGTAACCATGAATTGAAACCTCCAACATTATAAGCCAAAATACAACTTTTCTGGGGCTAGGGTTATGGTTCAGTGGTAGAGCACTTGCCTAGCACATGTGAAGCACTGGTTTCGATCCTCAGTACCACATAAAAATAAATAAATAAAATAAAGTTATTGTGTCCATCTACAACTAAAAAGAATATTATAAAAATCTTTTCCTGGGATAGGGATATAGCTCAGTTGGTAGAGCGCTTGCCTTGCATGAAAAAGGCCCTGGGTTCAATCCACAGTACCACAAAAACAACAACAAAAACTCCTTTTTCTCTGTATTATTTTATTAGCTCAGATATTTTGTCACAGTAATGGAAAGCTGAGCAACACATACCCATTTCTACGAATAGTTTCTCTTTGTTTTTTAACTTGTTGCCTGCGTGACCCACACCTCTGTGTCCATCACCATCATCACAGTCCTACATGTAGGAGGTCCATATCCATAGCCCTCTGCTAGAGCTGGATACCTCTGCTCTGTTCTTCCTCCATCCTTCCCCACTCATATCTCTGTCTTCTTTCAGATCTCTCTTTGGAGAGAAATCTATATATTTCTCGATGTCCCCTGAATCCCTCCTTCACACCTGTACAGTATTAGGCTGAATTTGGAAGTCTTGAGGACCAATTCCCTCTCTACTAGCCTCTTTGGCCAGGGGCATCAGATGTGTGGCACTTCTCTTCACCTTTCTAAGCCCCACTGTGCCATCTGTGAAATGGGCTTACAAGGATTCAAAGTGTGGGCATTATTGAAGATATATATATGGGCATCTGGCTCTGATCTCCTTCTCCACTGTATGAGGACAGTCCCCTGGGGTCTATGGGCAGCTATGAAGAAACAGGTGAATTTCTTGCTCTCACTTTCTCTACCCACTAATTCCATGCTTCTCCTAACCAGCAGGCTGACTTGACCTTTTTTCCCCAGCTATATACCCCTGAGAATCAATTCCTGGTACCCTAGCCTCTTGCTCTCCCCTCCCCAGTACCCTGTGTCCCCTGGACAGATTCCACTGCTGTCATGGCAGCCACCTCTGCCACCCCAATGCTGCCTCATTGGTTTGAGATACACAACAGCATGAAAGGTAAAGGTGAGATCACTGGATGAACCACCAATTCTCCCAGTCCTTGGAACCTGGCTCCCTCATGGGTTTCGAGACAGATGATGCCTACCCTTACCCAAGAGGCCAGTGAAATGTAGAAACTCAGTGTTGTAAGCACAGACATGGAGGAAGAGAGAGCACATGTGACCCTCACTCAGTATGCATACGTCCCCCATCCCAGCTCACCCATATTTGCAGGAGGTACCAGCAATAGGGAAAGACCATATGGATGTCCAGATGTGGCAGAAGAAAAGGAAGGTGCAATGGTGTACTGCCAGTGGGCAGCCTAGTGGCCCGGGCCAATGAAATGGTGGCAAGAGTGCAGGGGCCTCGGGAGGCTCTTTGAAGGTATCTGTTGACTCTCCCACTCACCTCAATGGCTATGTCTTGCCTAATAACCTATCAGCCCCAGTGTGCTAGCAGTTGCTACCACACCCAGCTCAGTGACTGATACACCAATTATGGACTGTAAGTGCCTGTTTACTCCCACTTGAAGCCTGACCCGGGAGGGAGGCAGAGGAGGGAAGCTCACCTCTGACCTCTTCAGGCATCCTATCCACCCCACTCTTAACCTCCTTTCCTCAGATTTCGAATTCCCACTTTCTAACCCTTACCCTTTCCTTGGATTCCAATATTTGCTAGGATGCCAACCTCGTATCTTCTAAACTCATCTGGGACCCTCAACCTCCCTGTTGCACCTTCAACTTCCCTCACTGTGGCCTAAAACTTCCTTCAAACTCTGTTGCCTAATCTCTGAACTGCCTCCTCCGTGGACCCCTAATTCCCTCTGGCAGCATTGAGCAGTTCCTCCAACCCATGTGTGCAGTCCTTTGCTATCTGGCTCCATGCATGGGTTAGTTGAGCACCACCACAGAACAGTAGCTCAAGCAGGTAAATCCCCTCATTCTTATCCCTTTCCAGATCCGCCTACTTATGAATCTTAGTGTTATCCTCTGCAAATAGCTAATCTGTTCTCAATTGCTATAACTGAATTATTAAAGTTGTTTTTTAATTGGGTTTCTTAAAAGCAGAAGGAGGAAGTGAAGGTAAAAAATCATAGCTCTTAAGCCTCTGAAATATTTTAACATGAGGCACAATGAAACATATTTCAAAGAAAAAAAGCAAATTACAAAACTGAAAATACAGTTCTTTTTTTAAAAAAGTAAAAATAAAACTCAAGATACAAATACAGTGAAAAGTCAGCAAACACTATTCTCTTGGAGTGGGATTATGAGGGTTTTTTTTTTTTTTTTAGTACCAACGATTGAACCCAGAGGCACTTAACCACTGAGTCACATCCCCAGCCCCTTTCTATTTTATTTATTTTTTAGTTGTAGATGGACAAATACCTTTATTTTGTTTGTTTATTTTTATGTGGTGCTGAGGATCGAACCCAGGGCCCAGCACGTGCTAGGCAAGCACTCTATCGCTGAGAAACAACCTCAACTCCAGCCCTTTTCTATTTTGAGACAGAGTCTCACTAAGTTGCTGATGCTGGCTTTGGTCTTGCAATTCTCCTTCATCAGCCTCTGAACCACAGGGAATAGAGGTATGTCCCACTGTCCGGCTTGAAGGCTTTTTAAATTTGTTTGTCTTGCTGTTGTTTTGTGAACTGAACCCAGGACCTCACACATTCTGGGCAAGTGCTTTAGCACTCCATGAGGTTCCCAGCTCCAGGAGTTTGTTGTTGTTGGTTTTCACTCATGAGTTCTTTTTACTTGTTTCTTTGGGCTTTTATCTATTTCTTCAAATTTTACCAATGCACATTTATCAATAGGCAAATGTTTAATATACTAACACACAATGTGAAGTTTTAAACATTTGCCTATTTCTCCTCTAACACAGTTTATCAATATTTTTGTAGCTTTTACCATGAAAATGTTTAAATAGCCCTGTGCCACAGTACCTAACCCATTATCAAATTTCGGGCACAGTTTCTCTTCTGACTTATCGGAAGGTTTAAAATCAATAACAGCTTTAGCTCAGTTAGAACATTTATAGAAAATGGTGCTATTCTTTTCCGTGCTACATATTAATAAATAAAATAAAGATCTATCAACAACCAAAAACATATTAAAAAAAAAAGAAAGAAAGGGGCTGGGGTTGTGGCTCAGAGGTAGAGTGCTCGCCTAGCACATGTGAGGCACTGGGTTTGATCCTTAGCACCACATAAAGATAAAAAAAAAAAATAAAGATATTGTGTTCACCTACAAATAAAAAATGAATATTATAAAAAAAAAAGAAAATAGTGCCATTCTATGTTTCATGCAAAGGAGGAAAGATGAATTTCTGGGCACATGAGTTTTATTTCATTTTTAAAGAATGAAGGTATTATAGAAAAAAGTTCACACCTACAAACAAGAAAGAAGGGACAGTGCCAATGTTTACAGAAAAATATGTATAAAATGAGGAAAAGCTTGATACCACTATTTCTTTTGAGATGTGGGTGCCCAGGTAAACATCTCTATCATTCTCTAGCTGTGACTTTGTAGAAGTGGACCACTGTGAGGATCACCCAAGATAATGCACAAAAAAGTATTTACCCAGTCACTTGACATATACCACATGCTCAATAAATATTTGCTGTTATTACTGATATAACTGTACTCTAATATGTGCTTGTGACTAGACCTTCAAGTTCCTTAAAGAAACACTGCCATTTAAGGCTTTCAAAGTAAATGTAAAGATAGATGGGATAAGGGACAAAAACAAAGACAAAATAGTTTCTCTAAGAAAATAGTTCACACAAACGATGAAGCATAGCCATGTGTGCAAACTGAAAATTAGGTATATAAATTGGGGGTGTTGGGCTGAGGCTATAGCTCAGTGGCAGAGCACTTGCCTAGCATGTGTGAGGCACTGGGTTTGATCCTCAGAACCATATAAACAAATAAAACAAAGGCATCTGTTCATCTACAACTACAAAAAAAATTAAATTAAAAAATTAAAAAAAAATTGGGGGTGGTATGCTAGTGGTAGATGGAAAATAATTAAAGGAACTCTGAGGTTAACACTGGTGAATCTAACCTCCTGTGCTTTGGCAAAAAAACCACCATTTACCTTGCTCTCAATCATTTAGCTTATTTGTACTAAGCCAAATATTGTACTAAATGCTAAGATGCTGTAGCAAAAAACATTCTCTGAGAGCTTATACACAATCCATCTTCCAGGAAAACTCTACCCCACTAAGAACTATGGTGGGTTGTAATTATGATGTTCTATTTCAAGCACAATGGTTGATGCTTTAAACATTTGGTCAACCACCATGAATAACTGGTCTTGAATTTTTGTGTTATTGTTGGTACTGGGGATTGAACCCAGCTGTGCTGTACCACTGAGCTACATCCCCAGCCCTCTTTTTGTTAATGTTTTCAGACTGGGTTTCACTAATTTGCCTAGGCGGCAGTCTCCCAAGTAGCTGAGATGATAGGTGGGTGTCACCATATACACCTTTTATATTCCTTAAGTTTTATTTAAAGTTCAAGGATAGCATGGGAAGCTTAGGGAAATCCTGTCTCAAAATGAAGTAGAAAAGGCTGGGGATGTAGCTCAGTGGTAAAGCATTTGCCCCCAGCATGCAAGAAGCCCTGCAGTTAAATCCCCAGTGCCACGAAAAACAAACAAAAAAGACAGAAATGGTAGGTTTTTATAAATCTAAAAGTTGTCTTTAAAAAGATAATAAAATAGCAAACCTTTAGTTAGTTACCAAGAAAAACACAATCCATACAATTAAAAATTGATGTACAGAAAAAATACTTCAAAGGGTTGTCAAGAGGGTCGGACAAGATCATACAGAGTACACACGACAAATCGGGAAAATGTTTACATTACATGACATAAGAAGAGCTCCTATAAATTAATAAAGAAAAGAATCAGCCCAGAATATCAAAAAAAGCAAAGGACACAAACAAAATCAATCCCCAAACAAATAAAAATGTCCAGAAAACAATATCCTCTGTCTCTGGGCTGGGCAGGGCAAGGCAATAGTGGGTAAAGTTACTCTCATTCAATGTTGATGAAAAGAAAATATGTATAGCTTTCTTGGAGGGCAATTTGGAAATATGTATCAAAAGCCCTCAAATACAGTATCTTTTAATTAACATATAATCTCTTAGAAATTATTTAAGAATTTATACAAGATAGAAAAAAAGTTTGTTTTAAGAATGCTTACATGATAAAAAAATTGGTAATAATATTAATATTTAGAGAAGAGATATTTCATAAATGTTACTATTCTTCCATTAAAAAGTTATTTATTAATATTTATTGACATGGAAAACTACAAATTCCCATAGGTCATTTACAAAATGATAAAAATGGACCACAGTCAACCAGTAATAACCTACAGCAGACTGCAAAGACCATACTGATTATAGTGCAGTTAAAACATACCCTAAGTGATTCCTAGTTAAGAAACTAAAACTTCAACTTAAGGCAAGTCCAGAAAATCATGAGAATAATGCATCACACACCAAAAACTATGGAATGGATGCAGATGTTCTAACCAGAAATAAATTTATGAGGTTAAAAACACTAAGCATATCAAATTCTATATCCTACAAAGAATATAATCAATCACAAGCTCATGTCCATTACTAAAGCATTTAAAATAGTAAAACAGTAAAATCAAAATAATGTTTAAAAAAAGAGGTACGTAGTTATATAACATCAGAATCTAGTCATATAAAGGAATTCAATGCATACATTTTTAAAATGACATTTTAGGAGTTTCTTTAATGAAGAGAGGAAAATTTGCCAGACTGATTAAGTGAGAAAAAAAAAATCAGGTTTTAAAATATGACTGTAAAGATGTTCAACAGAGTCTTATCTCTGGGCCTAAAACAGCACAAGATGTGGTCACATGTATTTTGGTGAGAGCTATTTTTAGTTAGATTCACAAAGATATCTGTGACCCTAAACAAGTTAAATGCCTAACAGACATCAAAAATGGTATCTCTGTGCTACCTCTCAGTGGTTAGATCATGGGGGATTTTTAAATTTTTCTCTATAAATTGCTATATTGTATAATAAATATGTATAATTTTTATTAATAAAGAGGACAATAGATCTCTTATTATTTTGCTTCCATTGTTTTTAAAAAAACCTTATTAGAAAATTCCTCCTTCTCCCCCAAAGCACCAATATACAAAGCTTAGTAGAGTCTCAGGTTCAGACAGATCATCTAATTCTTAGATTCTTGAATTTACCCCAAAGAACCTAAGCAATGACAGGAGATTACCAGAGTGGTGCTCCTCAAATTTAGAAATATTGTTTAAGAAATGTCCTGAACTAGAGAGAGCAAATCTGGCAATATCACTGCCAGGTCATTGCATCACTTTAATTCAAAGTGATTCTAAATCTTTCTCTATCCCTTTTCAATTGGACCATTTTTGAATGAAGAAAAACATATGAGTTATTGCCAGGAGCTGGGGTTCAGGGGCATGTGATAGCTATCTGTGAAGAGAACAATGTCAAGGTGACAATAGAGAGCCTCTTGTCTCAGGCGAGTGCCACACTTACCAGTTCCAGAAGAGAATGAGGAAGCAGCAAAAGCATCACCTTGGGTTGACTGGAAACCTGGGATCAAACTCTCAGCTGAGCCGCCAAGCTTTTCAGGATGTTTGCCTGGAGATACAAAATACCATTAGGTTCATTCTAGCAGAATCCTGTGATGCATCTACAAATGGTGGAGGGGAAAGGCACCCTCTGACTGCCTTTCAGACTCCTCTTACTGTATTACTGCAACATCTTGGCTATTCACAGGTCCTGTCTAGTCATTGCAATAACTGAGAAAAGGAAGGAAACTATTAAGAATCAAAAGAGACAACACATGGGTTTTGAAAGATGAAAAGAATTCTGGAGACTGGTTGTGCAACAGTGTGAATGAACTTAAAATTACTGAACTATATATTTAAAATGGCTATGATGGTAAATATTATGTTTTGTGTATTTTACCACAATTAAATTTTTTTTTTTTTTTGATTTTTAAAAAATTTTGCAATAGGGTTTCTTTAAGTTGTCTAGGCTGGTCTGGAATTTGTTATCCTCTTGACTCAGCCTCTTGAGTTGCTGGGATTACAGTGTGCACCACCATGCCTGGCCACAATTACGTTTTTTAAGTAAATTTAAAAAAAAAGAATAAAAAGAGTGGGAGCGGGGAGAGCAGGCACATGAGAGAGAATGTGAGTGAACACAGAGCTCAAGCCTTAAAGCACAATTTCATTCCTCAAAGCAGAATACCTCCAGCCTTCACTGGGAATCTACTTACAACTTGGTTTTAAGGATTTGTGTTAAGGATCTGTTTTCTACGTTGGAAGCATTTTAGAAGTGAGAAGTGGTAAAGATGGCAGTAGTGTTATGTGAACAGAAAGGAGACAGAAAAATCACTAAAAATAGGAGAATTTAAAAAAGAAAAAAACTTGAGGTTGGTTATGCACAAAAACTACAGTTTTGACAGTCCATTAAGGTACTTATGTTTGCAGTTCAGAACGATAATTGGCACAGATAACAATGAAAGTGAGTTGCCAAAAAAGGTTAAACCTTATATCCTATATTCTGTTTAAAAACTCAGGAAAATAATATGAATAATAAAAAAGATTGCTACAAAATAATAGTTAAAGCTAAAATGTTTGGTCAACAGGTTATTGTTACAAAATAATAGTTAAAGCTAAAATGTTTGGTCCTCTTGGTTCTGGTTATACCTTTACCTGTGCTCTTGTGTACACCGAGGGACCGCTTTTCCAACTGCATATTAGAAAACTTCCACAGATATACCTATTGTTCCAAAGTGTGTGCATGTGCCTGTGTGTGTGTGTGTGTCCATCCTGCCTTCCAAATTAGACTATGAGTTTTCTGGACAGAATTGTATCTTTTTAAAAAATAAACTCTCCTTTCGGTGGTCAGTCAACAATAATATAGAACATTGAAAACAGTGAGAGAATCAGTGTCCATGGGAAGGCATAGGTTCATGGACAAGCAGTCATTACTTTCTGGAACAATAAACCCACCTACAAGAAGGGCACCATCACAGTCCCCAAGGAGTGAACCTGATTGACAGATAGATGCCACTGAATTGCTTTCAATTTTCTTCTTTAATGCTCCCATTGTCCTTGCTGCTACCCACCACAGGTCAGGATTTCCTGAAAATACCTCAATGTTCTGGTAAAAATAAAAGTTGACTTATATGCATATCTGGAAATCAAGCCTTTGGGGACAGGCCCAAGCCAACATTTTCACAAGCACATCCCTCTAGAGCTAACATTCCAACTCTTGCTTATTTCTCGGCATAGAGAATTTACAGGCAAGAATCACAAAAAAGGCATGGCTTCCTCACCTTCCCCCAGCTTGGCAAAGTCCTTGTTCAGCAGTTCCTCAGCTGTAAGTTTGGAGAAATTGTCATCATCAAAGGGATTCCATGTAGAACCTTCTGAAGGATTATAGACATTTTGTTGGGAGGTTCGAGGAGATCCTGATGGAGTGGTGGTTGCAGACCTAGGTAGGTTCCCACCCCCACGAGACAAAAAGACATATAAAAGTTGAACCAAACAAAAAGAGTCAAACTACTTTTTCTTTGTTTTGGGATAAAATTTTTTTTAGAGGTAATTTATCATTTCCCAGTGTTTTTCTAAAGGGGCTTTCTACAAAGTTTCCATGGACACCCTTTCCACTCAATGACATGAAGGTATCCTCTCCTTCATCACTCTTTCTGTCCCACTATTTTTTTTTTTTTTAATCTCTTGCTTGGTTTTTCAGTCTTGTCTGCAAGGCCTTTCAGTTTAGGATCCCAAAGGAACCTGTTGTTAGGCTTGTGCATCCTATGGAGACCAATATAAGAGCTCCCACAACCAAGTCTTGGAGGCTCTGAGACTGAGGCCTTTGTAGGCTGCCTCCATCTTCCAGGATCTAGCAGCCATGGCATTAAGAGACACCATCACAATTAAAGATAAATGAAAATGGCTACTATCATTTTGTGTGTCTAGGTATCATTACCTAGTTTTCTTTTAAAGTCTTTCTTGAATTCATTTAAAGATTTTTAACTTCAGAGTTCACAATTCCAAGAAAGATGAGTATCTGAAACTACATTTACTCAACACTCATCAAAGTCTACTTTATGTCAGGCACAGAGCCAGTCACTAGTTTACAAAAATTGACTGAGGCATGATCCTCATCTTGGAGAACTGACAGGTACATCAGCCAGACACATGAATAATTAATGATAAAACAATGTGATACATGCTCAATAAAGGCCCAGACGCAACGACATATCAGAGGAAAGGTCAAAGAAAAGGCAACCCCTGACATTGATCTTGATGAAAAAAGTGAGCATTTCCTAAGGGAGGAGAACAGCAGCAGTCCCGGGAGAGGGCTTGGGATGAGCCAAGAGCTCATGAAGGTAGACATTGGCAAGTCCACTCATGTACACAGCAGGCATTCCTGGGGTAACCAGTGAGTTCAGATAGCATCCCATGGACAATGAGGACCAATGAAATATTTTCAGCATGGAGACACTTGGTCAGATTGGGAGTTTAAATAACACACTGTATTGCATGTAACAAATAAGAGAATGAAACAGTGGGCCATATAGAAATTTTTAAAAAAATTTTTTAGTTGTAGATGGATACTATACCTTTATTTTATTTATTTTTATGTGGTGCTGAGGATTGAACCCAGTGCGTCCCACCTGCTAAGCAAGTGCTCTACCACTAAGCCACAACCCCAGCCCCAGGAAATTGTTTCTACTGAACAGAACAGTACATATACTACAAACAATTCCCTTTCTTATAAAGGAACACCTATGCAGGGAGAATTGTGGAGGAGATGCACAAAGAACAGACAAACACATAAGGGGGAGATGCAAACAGAAAGAAGGATTGCAGACAAAAGGAATGCCTACCCCTTTCTGCCATCTTCTTTAATAACCCAAAAAGTTACATATTACCCACCACCAGTGACTATACTTTGATCAGTATTCCTTTAACCTTGAGTGCTAGCTAACTGAGATAAGGTCCAGGTTAATGCAAACACAGAGCCTCTCTCCTTCAAAGTATGTCACTATGTAAACCAGGTAGTGCATCCACATAGTTATCTTAATAGCCTCAGCAGGGACTAGCTGGGCATTCCAATGAGGGTGCCAGTTCCCCCCAGGGTGTCTGCTCACCAGGGGAACATTTCTCTATTTCCATGGTCAGAATACCTACACTTTCTTCCTAAACACAGACACACACTACTATATATACATCTACACACACCCATATAGTTATTGGAAAGCATTACACAAAACACCCATGATAGACCTTGCCCACAAAGTGAGAAGAACAAAGGGGAAGCACCACATACTTGGATTTATTGAGACTGGCCTCAGCTGCAGCTGCCTGGAGCAGCTGAGTGGATTTGCTGGCAGGGACCCCAAACACAGCACTGTGGGTGACGTCACTGAGAATCCGCCTGTGCCCAGCTCGTTGGGTTTTGGGGGATGATGGAGGAGTCAGAGATCCAAGTTTCTGTCCCTGGATGGTAGGAGGTGGGGTTGTTTGAACCTTTGGCTGTTGTCTTACTGGGGCTTGAAGCTGTTAGAGAGATAGAGAAGTGTTTTATTATTTTTTTTTTAAAGGAGGAGGAAAAGGAAAAGGAAAAACAAATAGATAAGCAAAACAACAACAAAATGCCACAAGTGAGCTAACATAGGACTCAAATGGTTAAGTTTACCAGTAATACTCAGAAAGAAAGAACAAAAAGATAAAGCTTCTACAATCTGGGCTGCAACTTTTAAGACTGATTCCAGTATAATATTTGATTGTTTTTTGTTTGTTTGTAGGTGGGGATCAAACCCAGGGCCTTGTGCATGCAAGGCAAGCACTCTACCAACTGAGCTATATCCCCAGCCCTGATGATATTTGAATTTATACATAAATCCAACCTATTACCCATCAATAATATACAAGGTAACCAAATGTAATTCTGCCCACAGAGGAAGATTCAGAAGCTATTCCTAGTTCTAAAGGTCTAGAATGTATCTTTAATGACCTCTTTCTGCTTTTGAAGTCACACAGCAGCTTGTTCAGAATGCTTCCAAAGGGCAGGCAATAGACCCTACCTTCTACCACAGTTAGAAGTCAAAGAAGACACACCTCTAGCAAAATACATTTATGCTAAATGATTTCTGCTAAGCGGTCCCTGAGACTCGCCATAGCTGTGACAAGAGTGAGTCAGATGGAATTCTACTGTGACTGAAACTGGTAGTGCTTTTACTGTGCTGTTATTAAAGCTCTTCGTTTCATTGATGGGATGAGTCTACAAGATCCTGTTTCTGTGGTAACCTCTGAGAAAATGTACAGCATTGATTTAGTGGGAGTTATTTGCTCCAATCTTTAGTTTAGAAATGACATAGAAGAACCAGCAGAAAACATAATAAGAAACAAAAACACCTTTCTTGATGATGACTCAGCTGACAACATAAGGACTCTAGAGATGTGGACCATTTTTAGGAGGGCCAAACTGCTACTAAAGAACAATAAACAAGGAGAACATCCTAGTGGTCCTTCAGCATACATCATCTATTATCTAGGAAAATGAACAAAACAATGTTAAGAAACTCACATAACCCATTTCCTTAATTCTGTCAATCTGAAGATAAATGACTTAGGATATTTAATGCCCCATGAATTTAAGTATCCCTTCCCTCAAGTCCCTCCTCTCATATTAAAGCTGCCTCTCCATGCTCCATGCTGCAGCCTGGTTCCCATGTTCGGTCCCTCCAGAGGTAGACCTTGAAAGCTCAGGGAAACCAGAGTATTCAGCTATTTGGTTCAGAATACTTATAGCATAGGACACTGACTGTCCTTATGTCATCCTTAGGACATGGAACATTTAGTGAGGCAGACGATGTACAAGTGCCAGTGTACCAACTACCTCATCAATGGGCAGAATGATACAATCATAGTGTTCCAGTATCAACTGAACTGAGACAAGAGTAGCACAGTTTCTGCTGAGGGAAAGCAGAGTGCTATTGAAGACCAGAGCTCCAGCCCCACCACTTCCTCTGGGGGTCCAGAGTTGCTCCTATACCAGCCAGTTGAATGCCAGCACTGATGGAGGCTAGAAGGTTTTGAGGAGAGACCTGACTGGCCTATTTTATAAGACATTCATTACTCTGAAAAGGGTACTTGTCTGTTCAGTCCCTTTTTTGATGAAGACTCCACACTACTTGGAGAACATCTTCCACTCCTCTTTCCTGTTCTCCATGTGCAGCACACTTTAGAATGGATGCCCCTATCGGGGTAAAACATCTCTAATCTGAAGATCTAAAGCCCCAAATGCTCTAAAATCTGAAACTTTTTGTGCACGACATGATGCCACACATGAAAAATTCCACACCTGACTTCATGTCTCAGTCAAAACACAGGGGTACTAAAAATATGATACCTTAGGCTATGTTTATGAGTGCATATGAAACATAAATGAAATTCATGTTCAGTCTTGGGACCCATCCCCAAGATATCTCATTATATATGCAAATATTCCAGAATCTGAAGCACTTTTGTACTAAGAATTTCAGATAATGGATACTCAGCCTAACCTATTTAGGGGTTCTTCACAACAATCCTGTCAGCCAGGCAATTATATGTTCACTTTGAGCCAACAAAAGTGAGTTGAAAAGAGTCTTAGAAAACAGATTCCAACACTTTCACTTCAGAGGAGAAGAGACCATGGCCCACTGAGGCTAAGTTCTCACTCAAGGGCACAAGGTGGACTGGAAGAAGAATCCATACCTCCCGACCACCACTCAGGACTCTTTTCTGCACCACAATGCCTCTCATCCAAAGACAAAACTAGGGAGGGTGAAGGAGAAACAGACTGCAAAAGGAGGACAAGGCAGACTCTGATATCTAACTTGTTGAAGACTTTTTAAAAACAAAATATGTAATTATAGAAGTGTAAGCATGCCAAGAAATGTAAGAATATAGAGAAGAGTGTCTATTCCCACACTCCAATACAATCCTTATCTTTGTTGTGCCTTAAATGTAAGTCAGTTTGTCTCCTCTCCTTTCCCCTTTCCCTGTCCCTTCCCTCCCCTCCCTCTTTCTTTCCCCAGTATGGGGGATTGAATCCAGGGGCGCTGTACCACTGACCTACATCTGGAGCACTTTTTATTTTAAGACAGGGTCTCACTAAGCTGCAGAGGCTGGTTTCCAACTGTGCTCATCCTGCTTCAGCCTCCCAAGTAGATGGTATTTAAAGGCATGTACCATGGTGTATGGCCTAAGTCTTTTTTTCACGTATAGACTTTTTCCAATTTTACAACTCTTTCAACATTACCTCATGAGCATTGTTCTCACATTGCTGTACAGACTCTCATACTGCTTTATGATTTTTAATGGCTGCATGGTTGGGTTCCTGAATGGTTTAGGTTGCTTCCATTCTTTGGGCTACTATTAATAAGACTGCAATGAACCTTTAGAGCATATGGTCATTTTCCCTTTGCTGATTACTGCTTTCAGATAGCTGCAGGGTGTTCTTATATTCACTCACATGCTTCTCCAAATAAGCCCTGCCATGAGTCAGAGACACAGGGATGGGTCAAACCTGGGCAGCTCTATGGTTCCTGGTTAAGTACAGTCAACCCAGTACTCCCTAAACAATTATTTCTGAGCACAGTGCTCCAGTGTTTTTCCATGTGGGGAGCATGGAGAAGGTTTATAATTAATTCCCAATACAGCAGACACTGTCCAGGCAAAGCTGAAGGGAACCTCATGAAAAGTGATGCTAGCAGTAGTTGAGTATTCATTATCTTGAATGAGCATTTATTGCTATTATCCTAAAACACAGATCATGATTCTTTGATTATTGCCCCAGGTCTGTTATTGTAATTCATCATGTCTCTAGGGCAGTTGCTTTCTAGTCTAGGCCTCAGATTTCAATTCCATAAAATCAGGGGACTAAGATGGATAATTAAGATCTCTTTTTATTAAGTCATGTAATAATTTTTTTAAAAACTGTTTCCATTAACAAGAAGAACTTTATCTTTTGTTAAAAATACAGAGGATAGCCATCTACCACATATTGCAGGAAGAAAGTTGTTTCATTTCAGAAACAAAGGTGTAAGCACTGAATAGACACACTTGGCTGAGACTTAGAGAAGACAATCTATTTTTGGCACTGCTTTTTGAAGGGATAGAAGTTTTCTTGTTTAAGATAGTGACAAAACTATATTAGAAATTAATTCTCAGAAAAATGGATCCTTATCATCTAGTAGTTGAATTTCCTTGGGAATAAGAGAGTAGCTGTAATATTTTATCAACTACGTATCAAAAAATACCTTTTTCTATCACTATAATCTTTTCTATTGCTATCACTAAGGAAACTCTGAGTATAGAATAAAGTTTCCTTACTAAAGGGCAAAGCAAGAATGCTCAAATGTGCTGAAACTGTAGATGTCAATCAGGAGAGGGTTCTGATGCTATATTCACTCAAATTCTAAATTTACAGGATGGTTCTAACAAGTAGATACTCAGATGCTCTGGTATCCAGGATACTGTGCCATGGTACATGGTCACAGGCAAGTTGGGCCTTCAAAGGTGATACTTGGTAAACTCAAACGCTGTGGCTAGTTGTGTCATTCATAAACTCAACACTGTCAAGACTCAGGGTACAGATGGAAGCCCACATAAACCCCCAGAGACCGGGAAGGGTACAGTGGATCAATCTGCCTCTTGAAGAAGGGAAAAGGATTAGCTCAAATCCTGAGTCCTTGACTATTTGATCATAGCACTAACAGAGACAATGAACAGCCTAATGCCAGGGTGATAAATTAAAATGTATGCCTTCATCAGTAACCTTGAATAATTTTTTTAGAACTCTGTCTTCTACAGAATACTTCATACTGTCCTTGGATGTATCAAGCAAAGATGAAATATTTTAACTGTGGGGATGAGAAAGCAACCTGGTCCCCCTCACAACTGCTGCCATCTCTTACTGCCCTCTCCCTGGCCCTCAATGCTCACTCCTCTTCTGCCTTTCACCCTGAGCCCTGGTTCTTACTGCGGGCTCCTGAGCAGATGTTGGCTGGGGGACAGAGGCAGGTTGGGCCTGGGGCTGTGGTCCTGCTGCTGCCAGGCTCTTTTGCTGCAGAGCTGCCTGCTGAGTCATCAGCTGTTGCTGATGCAAAGCTGTGGCCAACTGTTGTTGCTGTTGCTGTTGCTGCTGCTGCTGCTGCTGCTGCTGCTGGTAGAAGTTCTGCATCAGCTGCTGTTGAGTGCCTCCCTGGGACACCACAGGGAACTGGGCAATGGCTGGTTGCTGGGTTCCTGAATGTACTGCCTGAAACTGAGAGGAGAGAATGGCAAGAAACAAGGAGGTGAAAAAGGTCCTGTAGCAGAAACACATTCACAAAGATCAGTGGTGAAGCCAAAGGCAAGAGCAGGTAGAAGTCTTATTACCTGGTTCATAGAAATCTCAGGTCATTGAAACAAACACAGCAGTACCTTACATTGCTGAACCATACCCACTGCTTTAGAATGGTTTCCAAGTGGGTTTCTATGCCTAGGCTGAAGGAAGCTACCTGACTTAGAATAATATAAATGTTAACCCAGCTACTGAAACTCATATCAAGGCTTTCTGAAAATTATTTCCCAATTGCTCTACTTTATGAAAACTCTACCATCTTTATTCAAAATATTCTGATATTTCGTTATAATTTTTTAAAAAAATTTTTTTTAGCTGTAGGTGGACACGATACCTTTATTTATTTTTATGTGGTGCTGAGGATCGAACCCTGTGCCTCATGCATGCTAGGCAAGCGCTCTACTACTGAGCCACAACCCCAGCCCTCGTTATAATTTTATAGTGGGGTCATCCTACCTTGCCCAGGCTGGTCTCAAACACCTGGGCTCAAGTGATCCTGCTGCCTCAGCCTCCCAGGTAGCTGGGACTATAGACTTGCCAGCATGCCCAGCTTTTATAACACTTCTTACATGTCTCTCCAATCTCCACTGCTAGGAACTATGTCCTAGGCACATAAACAGAGCTCAAAATAAGGCCCTACTGATGAACAAGATCTTCTTTGGGACACCCTAAATACAGTTACCTAGCTACAGAGTTAATTTGGAGGATACCATTTGTCTACTGGGGACAAAGTTAAAGGGTTAGCAACAAAGCAGATGTCAAAATATAGCTGCCTATTTATAACCGAAAAATGATGGAAACAACCCAAATGTTTATCAACAGTAAACTGAATAAACTATGACATATCCTGAAAATACCAAATGGATACTCTCAAGTTGTATAGAGGAATGAAAGATACTTCTACAGATGGGTTAGAGGGGATAGAATTTTGTAGATTTAACTCTGAAACAATGTAAATGGTTATAATTCATCAGAATTAAACCAAAATTGAAAAACAATAATGAGCCAGGCACAGTGGTACATTCCTGTAATCCCAGAAACTCAGGAGGCTGAGGCAGGAGAATTCCAAGCTCAAGGTCATCCTTGGCAATTTAGCAAGATCTTGTCTCGAAATAAAACATAAAGGCTTGGGTTGTAGCTTAGTGGAACAGTGCCCCTGGGTTCAATCTCTAGTACTAAAGGAAAAAGGAAAAAAAGCAATAACTAAAAATGAAAAGCAAAATGATACAAATAAACCAGTATACAGAGGTAATTAACTACAGTCAGGAATGTGTGTAGGGCGTGGCTGGAAAAGTAGGTCACTGGAGTGTGCCTTTGGGGTTTATATTTTATCCCTGGTAAGCAGAACTCTCTGCTTCCTGGTGGCCATGTTTTAAGCTACTCTCCTTCTCCACACCCTTCTACTGTGGTGTTCTGCCTCACCTTGTGCTCAGAGCCATGGAGTTAGCCATCTAATGGATTGAGACCAATAGAAACTGTAAGCTCCAAATAACTTTTCCTCCTCTATGTTGTTCTTGTCAGGTCTTTTGTTCACATGATGATAAAGCTGAATAAAACCATTCCCTAGGTAATAATGTGTGAAACATTTTAAGAATAAAATGGGCAAAGAAATCTTATACTGATTTTTAGTAATCATATTGGTATTATTATCCTGAAACTATAAACTAATTAATTAACTATGTTAATGCTGTTAGGAATCAAGATTTCCAGATAAGTAAAACACAACAGAATCCAAAAAGTTAAACAAAAATCCTGTAACTACAAATTTGAATTAGTAATATAAATCTGAATTCATAATGTATATTTTTTTCATTGTCGATGGACCTTTATTTTATTTATGTATATGTGGTGCTGAGAATTGAACCCAATGCCTCACACACTCTTCCACTGAGCTACAATCTCAGCTCTCATAATGTATATTTTCCAATAAAACAAAACACATTTTCTAACTGTACACTGAAAAGGCCAAGAAATAACCACAAATCCATTAGTAAGTGAGTATGTCTAGCACCAAATGGTAGGTTCTAAATATCATTTCCATTAAAAAAATAAACAGCTCCTTAGAAAAACAGATAATTCCGGGTCAAGGACAGAATGATCCTAGAACAGTGTGTTATCCTCAACGGCAAGGCAATCATTAAAGACTACCAGAGTCACTCATATCCAAAGAACCAGGAAACCAATTTGAAAGTACTTCCACTGGCCAAAATAACTAACAGACAATTTGAGCCTCAAAATAAATTTTTTAAAAATGCAATGTATTGAAAGATATCAAACATGTTAAAATTCACAAATTCATAATGATATGAAACAAAAACTTCAAAGTCACTTTTGGATGATGGAGTGAACAAATTCATTATTCCAAAAACTGGCAAGCAAAGAGAAAGAATCAAGCATTTCTCTTGCCTTTCTGAATAAATAGTGCCTCAGGGTAACTAAATAGTTGATGAAAAAAAGTTCTTCATAGAAAAATTCCAGGCCCTAAGTGAAGTGGGAATGCTAGTATATCATTTTGCTATTGCTAGTGAATTAATGGACTTAGGAAATAATCAGCAATGGCTGGCAAGCTAATGAGAAACATTAATAAAATGGATGAGTCAGACAACACCTTAACACACTGAATGGTCTCAACATCATTAAAGGAGAAGACAACCAGATATTAGAGGCATCCTGATGTGACGGAAAAGGAAGAAGCAAGAATTGCCAGACCAAATGGAATATTGAGCAGGCCTTGAGAAACTACCAGTTTTCAAGAGACAAAGGAACATACCAAATGATACCATGGGGCAATCAAGCCAAATCCAGAATGTAGAACATTCCACAGAGCAACTAACCCAGTTTCTTAAAAAAATGGAAAAGGGGAGAAGGAACATTTAGAAAAGGGAAAAGGGAACTTAAGAGATATATTAATTACTATAAAATGTGTTTATAGTATAAAATGTGAAAAATTATAAGTAAAGATAATGGAAAAAATATACCAAGTAAACAAAATATGTGGGCCTTGCTTGGATGCTGATTTTAAAAAGCCAACTTAAATTATGAGACATCAGAAACAGTTGAACATGACTGGGCTTTTTTTTTTTTTTTTTTTGTCAGTACTGGGGATTGAACTGAAGGCCTCATGCATGCTAGCTGAGACTGGCCTCAAATTTGTGATCCTCCTGTCTCAGCCTCCTGAGTTGCTAGGATTACAGGTATGCATGACCACATTCAGTACTACTGGAATATTTGATCAGAAAAAAACCATAGTTTTTTTTTTTTTTTCCTTCAGTATGTCCTTGAAACCCTGAAAAATAGCACCTTCATTGAGTTCCTCAAGCATGTGATAAATTCTCCATGGCCTGAAGAGAACAGTGAATGGGCTGTGAATTATCAATCTACTTCTAAATGCCTTAGTTATCTATGAGAAACAATGATGTAATAAAGGAATGGCTCTCCATTGTCCTAGCACTTCTAAGGAATACATCTGTACTTACTGGGCCTTTTCACAGTCACGATTCAGCCTGGATCACCTTACCTGCTGAGCCTGGGCCTGCTGCTGCTGGTAAAATGTGCCTGATGGCTGCTGTGGCTGCTGCTGTGGCTGTGGCTGGGGCTGTGGCTGCTGTGGCTGCTGCTTGAGGAAGAGCTGTTGCTGGTGCTGGGGTGTGGCCTGGGCCTGAGATGTTGTCAGACCCTGGGCTGGGGTGGAAGGCGGCTGCTGTGGGGTGGATGGAGCCTGTGGCTGCTTGGGCTGAGACTGAGGCAGAGGCTGGCTGGGTGGGGCTTGGGCTTTTGGTTGAGGAACACTGGTCAAAAGCCCAGGTTGATTGCTGGGTCCTACAATAAGAATAAACTCCATATTAGACCTCAAAACTCTTCTAGATGAAAAATAGCTTTCTGATTTGTCAAAGTAGTAGAAAGGGGATGATAATTAGGCAGATTATTCTAAGATCCATGTGCTCCACACTGTCTGTCCACATGCTCTGTTTTCCCCAGAATGACTTTCCATCTTTTTTGCCAAACTGTGCTTTAAAATTTTCAAAACAGGGCTCAATAACAAGATGCAATATTTGATTCCTTTAGAAAGCAGTCCTTTATCCATCATCCCAATTAGCCAATTCTCCTTTAGTTAGCAGCCTGAGTATCTACAGCCAACTGGCCTTTGCTGCTACTGTAGGTAAACACAATCTTTGTATCAGTTGGCTTGCTGCATGACAAAAGAATTCTTCAAATGTTTTACCTATAGTTTACATAACCCCCACCTGGATGCCTAAATGTCTGGCAGAATTTACCAAAAGCAGCTTCCTCCTAGGGGAAGCAATATAGTTGTATTCCGTTACTTGATATTTTGAATCAGTTGGGGTTTTTTGGTACTGGGGATTGAACCCAGGGGTGCTTAACCACTGGGCCACATCCCAACCCTTTTTATTTTTTGAGACAGGGTCTCACTAAGTTGCGAGACTGGCTTTGAACTTAGATCCTCCTACCTTAGCCTTCCAAGTTGCTGGGATTACAGGCATGCACCACTGGGCCTGGTAGATCAATTGTCTTTATAAAACAAAGTTTACTCATCTAATTAGAAACAGAATACCAAAATACAAAAGGGTGATAGATATTTCAAGAAACAAAACATTATGGAATAAAGAGGTAGGTATGGGAAGAACAGATCAAACCACAAAGTCAGGGCCAAGATGAGAAAATATAGAGATGACAGCCTTCAGTAGTCTTAAAGATCCATCTTAGAATACAATAAGAGGTCTCCACTTTTGCAGCCATTGGCCGTACAATTTCAAAGGTAATTCACTTCATTATTCTTTATTTGCCTCTGGATTCCATTCCTAACATGAAACCAGGCTCTCCAACACTTCTGTAATAAAGAGGTACACTCACTTTCAACCCAGTCTAGTAACTGACCTGCAGCCTGAGGCGGAGGCTGAACTGTGGCCCTCTTCCGAGGTGTCAGAGCTGGCTGGATGGGAAGGATTCCTGGATTTGGCTGAGTCTGCCCAGCTTTAGGCCTCTGGCGGGGTGCAATTGAAGTTTCTGTGGTAGGAATGGGATCTGTCAGTCTAGAAAAGGAAAAGTGGGGGGAAAAAGATTCATGTCAAGAGTGGGAAAATGGGAGATGAGTGGGCAGAGTACATAACCCTTTCCCCTCAACCCTTACCCAAACCTTCCAGATCTGCTTAGTCAATAATTCTCAAAGGCCCATAGGATGTTATTAATTTCTTTAAAAAGTGCTTACTGGGCAAAAATGATTTTAACACAAAGATGGAATTATATTGAGCAGATTTCTTTCCAGCAGATCTTTTCATGTGTGAATATGCATGGTGAATCTATATGGAATGCAATGTTTCTCAAGCTTATACACTTTTTTTTTTAACATTTATTTTTTAGAAGTAGTTGGACACAATACCTTCATTCTATCTATTTATTTTTATGTGGTGCTGAGGATTGAACCCTGGGCCTCGCACATGCTAGATGAGCACTCTACCGCTGGCTGAGTCACAATCCCAGCCCAAGCTTATACACTCTTGAAACCTTTTTCTCTAATACCTCCTAGGATTTCCCAGGATACACTATGGGTAATGATGCTAAAAGAGGTTTGAGGAGGGTGTTCTTTCAGAGATACAGGGAACTCAAACTTGGTTGAAGACAGCTGTCAAAAATGGTCTCTCTAGCTGGGTATGGTGATGTACACCTATAATCCCAGCAACTCGGGAGATTGAGGCAGAAAAATCTTGAGTTCATAGCCAGCCTGGGCAATTCATTGAGACCCTGGCTCAAAATAAAAGGGCTGGGGGCTCTGGAGATGTAGTTCAGTGGTATAGCACTTGCCTAGCATGCGTGAGGCCCCAGGTTTGATCCCCAGCACTGAAAGAAAAGGAGAAAAAAAAAAAAAAGGTCTCTACAATGAAAAGCAAATGAGTGAATCCAACAAGAAGGAATAAGTAAATAATCTGAGGTAAAAAAAATTAAAATTCAGGAGTATAACAGAAACACCGCCACCACTCCCGCACCCTCCCCCCCTTTTTCAGTACTAGGAATTGAATCCAGAGTTGCTCTACCACTGAGCTACATCTCTAGCCCTTTTTATTTTTTTTTATTTTGAGATAGGATCTCCCTAAATTGCCCAGGATAGCCTTGAACTTGGGTTTCTCCTGCTTTAGCCTCCCAAATTTCTGGGACTATAGGCATGTGCAACCTTGCCCAGCATGTACTCCTTTACCAGAGAAATAAAAATTTTAGCTTACCACAGTGTTATCCAGAGTAAAAGAATCACCTATTCTAGCCTCTTTTGTGACCAAGTGTGGCCATTTGTCTAAGGTCTAGCCTTACATGGAATGTAAAGAGGTTGCTATTTGGCAGTTTAGAAAAACCTTAAGAAATAACTGACATATTCCCTTTTCCTATCTTCTTTGGCCATTCCTTGATCCTGCTGCTTTGGATGGGAAGAGGCTGCTACACTGATCTATGAGGTCACTGGCCACACCTGTAGGGATGGTAGAGTGATGAGCATGAAGAAATCTGGGTTCACGAAACAGAACTGCCATATAAGACCTGGCCTACTCACCTCCAAACTTTGTTTACTTGTGAGAAAAAAATTAACACCTATCTCCAATAAGACACCATTACTTCAGACTTTTTGTCCAAACTAACAGAGGGATGTGCCATGTGGCCCACTTAATTCCTTGTGATGGTGTCGAAGTCCATCATTCATTTACAGTAGTTTGGGTAGCTAACTACGACCTAACTCAGATCAGAGTCCACTGCCCTTTGAAAATTGCACTTAAGGAGTATAAATGAGGCTAAGGCCAAAATAAACAAACTTCATGAGTATTTCCAAAATATGTCTAGCACAGCCTCCATGAATGCAAAACAGGAAGCAAAAGAACTGGCCCTATGTCCTTCCCATGATGTATCTCTAAAGTATGGCTCTCCTTGGCCCAGAAACCTCTCAATGACATCCTGTTAGATGCTCTTATGCTGGGCAGAGAATTGATAATATGTAAGTTATCTCATCTGGAGTGGCTGTAACCTGCATAAAGGAAGTGGGAGGGAAAAGTGTGACAGATTTTGGAGGACAGGACAAGTGTAAGAGAAAAAGCCCAGGGTCAGGGAGGTAAACAGACTTCAGTGGAAATCCAAACTCAAAACTCTTCATATTGGTTTCCTGAGGGGAACATCTTAGAAACACATGGGATTTAGAGTCAACAAAAAAACATTTGAGCTCTAGCTCCCTACTAATTTGTGTGATGATGGACATGTCATTTTAGCTCTTTCAGCCTTAGGTCATTTATGTGTAAAACAAGGAAACATGCATATGTATCAATAAATATGAAATTGCTTTGTAAACTGTAGAGTGCCCAAAATGTCAGCTGCAGGGCCATCACTTGTGTGGATACAGAAAGGATCCTCATTCAGCCTTTGTACATACCACGTTTGGGTTTTGTACATGATTAGTATAAACCAAGAAGATTGAGATAATTAAATCAGCCCCCAAAACAATCCCCAAAGAGGTGAGCAGGGCAATAATTAATGTCAGAAATTTACAAATAAAAGTAACAAGGTTTGCTTGTTTGTTAAGCAAGTCTGCTAACTTTATTAAAAAACAAAGTCATTACTTTAGAGCCACACCTGGAATAATTCTACCCACACAGTAGGCATTCTGTAAATATTCAAGACATTTTAAAAACACAGTTTACTTTAAAGTAAATTACTTTCCTGTTCTATTAAAATCCACATATTACCATTTCGGGTCCTTTATTGACACTGTTTGCTGCTAAATATTTCCTTACCCCAGGAGGAGGGGCAGAAAAAGGAGGAGCATAATCATGTTCCTGGCCACCCCCAGAATTTGTCATTTGGAAAGTATGACAGCTACAGGGCAGTGCCTGGCAGATTTTCGGCTATAGGGATGTGAAAGACCAATGCCCAGCTGCTGTGCTCTGGGTTTACCCTGAGACCACGCTTCCCATAGATTGAGTTCAGTCCTAACATTCCATCCACTGATTCCTATTAGGGGACCTTTCTGATAGCTGATTCTGGTATAAGGGATCCCCAATATCTTTGGTAAGCTTTCCTTAAATTGTGTGGCAATCGGAGACACTTTCTCCAGGTCAGACTTGCAATTTCTGACCTTCTCCCAGCCTTTTCCTGGCTCCTTCCCTGTTTCTCCCTGGGGTTTTTCCCCTAACCATGTCTCAGCATCTTTGTATGTATAATGGTCTCTTGGCATTTGCTTCCCAGAAGACTGAAGGTGCATAGAATGTGATTAGCTTGTACTAATGTTGCTGGAGCCACAGTAGTAAAAAGAAAAGGAAGGCAGATGACTAGGGTGGTGAACATGTCTAACCACATACCAGAATGCATGTTAGGACACTCCTGTGCCAGCAACATATAAAGTCTGCCCTTGCCTCATCACTGAATAACCCTGCTACTGTTCCCATGCAAAAGAAACAGCTGTAGTGTCTTTGATTCTCTTTCAAACGTAGATCACACTATTTTATTATATTCCTCCTGGCACTCCTGAAGAATAGTTTCTGCCTAGGGGAGACAGGTCTTGGTTTCCTGATCTGTGCAGTCGCTGGTTATGGCAAAATGAGAATTAAGAAACACAGGCATTCTCCACTGCGGTGCCCCAGCAGGATGCTCATGAAGGCACTTCTTACCTGGCTTTTGGCTGGGTCTTTTTTGCAGCTGCCTCACTGGCTTTCACTGGTTCGGGAAGTTTTGCAGGAATAGGAGAATTCTAAGGAATTGAAAAGAGAAAAATAAATTTATATATATATATATATATAAAGGATATCACAAATTTCTCTGTAAAAGAATAACCAACCTGATGGAAAAGAAATTACATTTGAGGGTCTTTGGGTGTGACTTTCAGGCACTTTTCTCCCTGTTAGAAGGAAGTTAACCAAATACATACCAAACCCAGACACCAGTGGGAAGCAGATGGCTGTGAAGAGGTGAGCATAAGCACACACTCTCCTGGACCACTTTCCCCTTCTGCACCAGACAAAGCTCACTGGGGCTTAATCTTGGTTCCCTTCTCCTTGGTGTAGTTCAGAAGTGATGATATAAAAGGAATGGGAAAGAAGTTGTATTGTTCAAGCTCTAGTTATATCTGAGAGACATCAGAGCTGACTCAGGTGCCAAGCAGGGTGCATTCCATCTTCCAGTCAGAATGCTGGGAGAAAACCATAGCCACCCTGTATGTTTGGTGGCTAAGCGAGTGCCCCTTCCCAACATGGGGAGCACTACTCACTCCACAAGCCAAACACTGTTCTTCTAGCTTGACTTCTGCACCATTCAACAATGCATCTTGAGGGAGCACCAGCTAGCTGTACTGAACCACAAAGCAAGTGCTTGCTACTCCTGAGAAAGTGCCAAAAGAAATGAGACTGATGAAGTTTACTTTTTATAAACTAGATACCAATCTTAATGTTTCCAATTATATTTCACATTATTTATTTGATAAATGGGAAAGTGCAACTGTAAAAGAAAACATGGTCATGTAAAGTTACTGTACCATATCTCTTGTTTCCATCTTGGAAAACTGACAAACAGAACATGAGCTCTAACACTGGCCTTTTAGGAGGGTCCTCTCATTTCCTCATGTTTCTAAGAGGGAGGAATTTCCCCTAGAAAGCTTCTTCTAGCTTCTCCTCTGTCCTTCAAGAATTCCTCTCCCATGGAAGAGAAGCAGCATATTTAGCTGATAAGACTGGCAGAAAGAAGCGAGCTCATCTGGTTTACCCTCGTCTTCCTTTTTTTCTGGAAGAGCCTGATCCTTAGGAATCAGGCATTTCCATCTCAAGTCAGGTGGATTTAAAGTTAGGGAGTCTGACAGGTCAAATTATGTCCTACAACTCAATCGTTTTATCAACAAAGCCAATATTCCTAATGCCATCCGAATCAGTCTCATAGCTGATGCCAAATGTGGCAGTGAAAGAGGAGCATTATTTATCAATACTCTCAATCCCTAACAGTGGCATCAAACGTTCATTATGGGAGAAAGCAGCATGAAAATTTCAGAATCTATTTATGGCCAGGCATGGTGGCACACAGCTGTAATCCCAGCAGCTAGGGAGACTAAGGGAGGAGGATTGCAAGTTCAAAGCCAGCTTCAGCAATTTAGCAATTTAGTTGCTTAGGACAACTTAGTGAGACCCTGCCTCAAAATTTTAAAAAAGGGTTAGGGATATGGTCATGTAAAGTTACTGTACCATATCCCTTGTTTCCATCTTGGAAAACTGACAAACAGAACATGAGCTCTAACACTGGCTTTTTAGGGTTAAGCATCCCCAGCACCAGAAAAATAAATAAATAAATAAAAATTTTACTGTAGCATCCATTAGTAAAATATTCAAGAGATTGGGTTATGTCCTAAAAAATATGCCAAAATTGGGGCTGGGGATGTAGCTCAGTGGTAAGTCACTTGCCTAGTGATATGTGAGGCTCTGGGTTCCACCCCCATCACAGTAAAAGCAAACAATAACAACACCACCACCAAAGCCAAAATTGTAAAAAGGGTGTTTGCAAAGCATTTTACTCTGAAAACTATGAGTAAGGAGTTTAGGAATACTTGGTGTAGACAAGATTCACATGGTCTGATATGTGTGACACAAGTGTGAATTATAGATGGCCAATGGTGGAGGCAAATCAAGACAGCGTTGCTATAAGGAGGGAGAGCAGTGGAAATGGGCTGGTGGGACGAGTCCAGGGCCTCCCTCAGGAAGGCAGCTGTGCACGTTCACAAGATAGCAAGCTGGCCACTCTTCACCCACGCATTCAATTTAATCTCTAGGGTATTTTTTGTTGCTTTTGTTGTTGAGTGAACTGCCTCAGTTTTATAATTAAATTCAATGGGAAACTGGATTCCTTTTATTTTGGATTCTCTTTATTCTACTTCATGGTTAGCTTTGCTTGAATGCCCCCTAGTAGATAAATCAAGGGACATCTACATCACTTAAGAGACTGATTAACAGCTCAGAACTCAAATGACAATGTGATAAGGTTTACTTTGGTTAACAAGCACCATTCACATACCTGTACATTTGGAACTGGGCATTCTTTCTTGAGAAGTTTGAATGAGAAGTAGGAAACTTGGTAAATATCCGGCCTTTTGTCAGGGTCTGGTTCCAACATATACCCTATGACAAACATATGTGAACTTATTTAATACCCTAATAGTTGTTACATTAGCTAGAGAACATAACTTTTCTACTACCAAAATTTTGATATTTTTAATTTTTATGTCTCATAAAAGTCAAACAGTACAACTAGCCCTTTTCCTAGAAAGGGAAACTAATTTTCCTAAAATATTTAATATCCACAAGAAAATAAACTCTCGGAATTTTAACAAGCTACCTGAAGTTCACATTCTATGCCATGCACAAGAGGGGTGCCAGCTCTGAATCTGAAAGTTACCACCTTCATGTTCTGATATCTAGGAAGTTATATGGTCTAGTGGCTGGCTTGCTTAGTTCACAGTTTCTTGTTAAACAAATGATTATTCATAATTATAATTATAACCAAAACCCAAAGATCATGAATTCACTACCTATTCTTGTGTTGGTGATATTAAGTACTTTCCAATTTAAGAGAAATTACAAAGTAACATATACATACATATATACATAGATCGATCAATCGATCTACTTTAATTGTGATCCATAGATCACTTTTCTATTTCCAGGTCCTTTAAGCTTCTGCCCTCTTGGAAGCTGGAAAAGCCCTCAGGAAAAGTCTTTGAGAAGACACAGATACACGAGTATATATCCCAACACTAGTGCAGGGCACTTCCTGCCTAAGTAAATAATGAATGGTTTGAACGCTAAGTTCAGAAAAAAAATCAGTGAGGTTATAGCTCTAGAAGGTCTAGCAGAAGAAGCAGAACAGAACACAGTCAGGGAGAAAGAAAAAGACAGTCCAGAAGAGAGAACAGTGTGAACAAAGGCAAACTTGGAGAAAGGCAAGAGAAAGATTCTCCTGCTGCATGGAAATAGGAGCCAAAATGACAGGGTAGAGAGATGGCTTGGAGGGTGGGACAGAACCAGAACATGAAAATCTTAAATGTCATGCTAAGAACTTGGGCCCCACTATGGGACCACTGGCAAGCAACTCAAATTTACTGAAAAAGGCATGAGAGGGTGACATTTTATAATAATCTTGTGACAAGGGTGCACTGGATAGCATAGAGAGGAGAGAAGCTGGTGGCCATTCTGCTAGAACAGGAGCTGACAGATCTGTATACACACCATGGTGACATGGATGAAAAGAAGAGAATCATTGAAAAGAATAGCAACTCTAAATATATATATATATAGATAGATAGATAGATAGATAGATAGATAGATAGATAATAAGAAGAATTAATGCAACATAGAAAACAACCAATTCTCTCTCTGTTGCTAGCCAGATCCAAAGACTATCTTAAACTTCACCCATCCAGTCTTGGCAATACCAACAAGAGAAACTGAAAAGAAGGGGACTCTCATATTGGGGGTAAAAAGAAAGGGAAGAGCTGGGCTTGGTGGCCTATGCCTGTAATCCCAGGGGCTCAGAGGCTGAGGTAGGAGGATCATGAGTTCAAAGCCAGCCTCAGCAATTTAGTGAGGCCCTAGGCAACTCAGCAAGATCCTGTCTCTAAATAAAATATAAAAAGGGCTGTGGATGTGGTTCAATGGTTAAGCACTCCAGGTTCAATATGCCTGGAGACCAAAAAAAGAAAGAAGAGAAAAAAAGGAGGGGCAAAAAAAAAAAAAAAAACAACAACAACAAATCAAATTTTATTTTTTTCCCCACATAAGAATTTTTATTTTTTTCCATTTTGAAGGTACATTCAAATTATACATAATGGTGGAATTCACTGTTGTATATTCATACCTGCACATAATATAACAATATAATTTGGTCAATGTCATTCCCTATCATCTCCCTTTTCCTTCCCTTCTATCCTTTCCCTGGTCCCTTTTCTCTAGTCTACTGATCTCCCTTTGAACAAATTGAATTTTAATCCTGTGATTGCAAGGTGATAATGGAATCTTCAAATAGTTTGCAAACTGAAATACGAGTTTGGGAAAGATGTCAGTGCTATCAATTTTTCTAAAGAATTGTTGCTTCCAAAATGAATTTAATGCATTCTACTGTCTATCAAGTAGAATAAAATTTTTTAAAAAATGAATTTAATGAAAAATATTAAAAAGAAAAAAATGCTACTTAAGTATCAAATTTGGCTATTTTCTCATATTTCCTTCTGATACTTTTTACATAGCTGCAATTCTAGTTTAGATATGATGCTTTACATCTAAAAACAATCTAACCATCATTAAATTAAACACCTCCCACTGTCATTAATAAATGGAAGAGGCTGGTGGATAAAACTGACACAATGCAATATAGAGTCACTTAAACTCTATAATTATTTTAACTTGAATAAGACCTCTACTTTTGTGACTTCGGTTTCCTCATGTGCATATTAGGGATAATTATACTTAAAATATTCAGGGTTTTAAGAATTAGAAGAGGTACAAATAGGTCCTCAACACATTTCAGATGCTCCACCTCTGTTGCTAATTTTGTTTTTTCCAATGTACCCTATCCAGGACCCAGTTTGAGTTGCTCAGGATTTATGATCCTTAATGGTTAAAACTCAGATGCTAAATGCCTGGACCAATGCGGAAAGATGATAAAAATCTCTAATTCTTTTGCATTTTAGCACAGGGTCTTATGCAAAGATTATTTATTCTACCATCTGGTTAATGGATGTTAGTACATACGCTTGCAATGATGATACAGAAAAGTAGGGAATCTTAGGACTATTTTAAACAAAGCATTGAGTTTAGATGCTTGTTTCAAAAATCCTGTGATTAACCTAAAATGAAAGGAAAAACCTAGTTCTATGAAGTTATACAGTCTTAATTATGTATTCATTCCAGCCAATGCACTGCAATCATTTTCATTTGAGTTGCTTCCAGTTTTGCAAAGATGAATTTCTTATCATTTGATATGAGTCAGCTGGACTCCTTTGGAACCAAAGCTTTCATACAGACTGCAACAGGACCCAGGAGTAGTGTGCTGTTCAAAGCACAATTAGGATTTCTGCTTATGGCTGGCTCAGGTGTGAAATAGAGCTTAGATTTCCAGCAAAAAGACCCACCACTCTAACTAGACACTGTTAAACTTTCTATGTGTTCCCAGCTATTATTAACTGATTAAAAAAAAAAAAAAAATCTTTGCATCCAACCCATCTTCTCCTAGAAACCAATCTCTTTATCTTCCAATTTATTCCTAGTGGTTAGAAATAAAAATGTGAAACTAGAAACTTGAAATACTTACTAATAAGGCAGTGCATGTCTTGAGAATATCGAGAGTTATCAGGAATTGTGAAGTTTCCATCACAAATTGCCACCTGACTCTCCCCAAATGGCAAAGTGAAATAGCATAATTTATACAACAAACATCCCAGGGCCTAAAAAAAAAAAAAAAAAAGAAAGCAGATTGCTATTAGTGGTTTATTTACCATAATTGCAAGTGGATCTAATCAAAGATACTGGCACCATCCATACAAAAACTATATATTATTATTCTATTAGAAAATTAAATTTAGAACTCAATGTGGCTATTTAGCAGCCAAATTACATTATTTCTACCAATATTACCAAATTCTGCTCTAGTAAAGAACAGATATATTTCCTATTTTGCTCTTAAGAACCAGAAAAATGTAAGTGAAAACCATGTGAATAATTATCAAAGAAGTAGGTCTAAAGTGATTTTCTTTTCATGTTCCAAGAAGCAGTGGCTAGTCCCCTCACATCATGAACCGCTCCAGGGGAGAAGGAGACAATGGTATGGTACAGGTGCTACCGTGCTATACCACTGTATGCATTAATCTTGGGAGTTTACAGCCAATGACTAATGATATCTGGGGTGTGGATAGGTTAGTTGACACCTACCCAAATGTCTGCCTTCGTAGTGATGATTTTTCCACTGTACAAGTTGACCATTTCTGGTGCTCGATAGGACAGCGTTGTGTATCTACAATCAAAAGATTCATTTTTTGTTAAATATATCAATGCTAAAATTATAAACCAGGAGGAGCAGAATTTTTTTTTTACATTAATAGAACCTAATTCCCTGGGAGCAATTTGCAGAAGAGACTATGAAATATCAGTGCAGATAAAATGAAAGGCTGTCCTCAGTACAATGATATCATCACACTGTGGCCCTAAGCAGCAGACCTCCTAATCTAAGAACATTGGGGGGGTGGGGCCAGAACAAGTGCACTAGGTAAGCCCTAACAGCAACTTTTCTTGCATCCTGAAATAACAAAATCTTCTCCCATGAATCCTTGTTGTCTGATACTGTATTGAGCTTATTTGTTTTTTTAAAAATAGAAAACCCTTTAAATGTGACTCAACAGAGATGCAGCACTGACTGGGATATTTTGGAGAACAACAGACAGTGGGCCCCAGCTGGGGTGGGGTGGATGGGGTCAAGAACCCTTGATCTCTGCTCCTGGAACAAGACTGAAGTAACAGTGTTCTTATCTCTGGCTTAAGAGTAACATAAGCACACCCTCACAGTGAGCATTTGGTACTACCATGTATGTGATTTGTGCTGTTTAAATCTCTAGATTCCAGATGGGACTGGTTTAAGTGTCCACCAGGGCCTTACACTAGAAGTTGTCTTGCCCCAGGCCTGGTTACCTGGGGTGATGCATGAAAGGGGAGTGAGGATCTGATTTAGGCATGCATGCTAGATAGGTCAGGCTCTAACTGGACCCACAAATTTAAAGCTATTTCTCATGGAAGTCAGTGATTCAGTGTCTGTAGAGACTTCAATAGCCCCACTCATCATTAATTCCACTGGGCTGTGGGTGAGCTCCTCATGAGCAGGAAGGAAGCAGAGTTCAGTAAAAAGGGTTCAGTTAAAAAGCACATCTGTCTGACAGTGTCACATTAGTTGTGATAACACTCGGAAATATCAAAGTACTTTCATGGTGTGTGTATCACTTAATTTTTTATGGGCATGTGATGTCATAAATCAAAATATACATATTATAGGACCACTGAAAAGTGTTACAAGATTCCTTCATTTTACTCTACTGATCCACGCCTGTGAATCCCTCCTCATCCTTCTCTTAAAATCAAACCACCCAAATGGTGAACAGAATACGCTGAGATGAAGGATAACTGACTGGTACCATTTTCTTCCCATTCTGACCATCTCATTCACAAGCTACAAGTAAAGTTACTTATCTGATAATGGACAAACTTCCAAGAAAGGAGGAAAAGCTTACTTCTTAATCTCATCTTCCACTGCATTAACTCCTTCAGTTTGTGGATTCTGGAATTTGTTGGTGGCACTGCCAAAGTCACACAGGACATAGTGGCCTCTGTCATGCAAGAGGATATTTTCAACCTGAAAAACATTCCCCAAAATCCCATTTCAAGATATTGTTTAGTACTGCATTTGAAAATGTGCTTTTACAGTCACATAAATAAAATATTTTATTTCTGGCAACCTTGTTAGTGTGTACAGGTAAGTTATTCCCCATGGAGCATCTCAACAGGGGCCATCCCAAGTGGAACAAAATGAGAGGCACAGAAAGGGCAAAGAGGGAACTCCACAGTGGGGGAAGCCAGAGTTCCATTTTTCCAAATTTCCAGTCACGTTTCTCACCTCTGCAGAGATCTCATACGTTTGAGCTCTTACTCTTCTTTCATTCTGGAATGCTCTCCATGATTCCCCACCTTCCTATCCAATTACTAAATTATCAGTTGTCTTTCTTTTTTTTTTTAATATTTATTTATTTATTTATTTATTTTTAGTTCTCGGCGGACACAACATCTTTGTATGTGGTGCTGAGGATCGAACCCAGGCCGCACGCATGCCAGGCGAGCGTGCTACCGCTTGAGCCACATCCCCAGCCCAATCAGTTGTCTTTCAAACCCAAGTTCAAAGATAACTTCCTTTTTGAATTTCCCCCCCATTCAGACAAATGTCACTCCTTCCTTATTTTCCTTCAGTACCTCATTCTCCCACGATGTCAATTACTTCACCTGGACATTTAATAATGTCTTTAAAAATCAATCAATCAATCAATGTCTTTACTAGGTTAGGATTTTCAGAATTGGTATTTTTTATATTTTAATTACTTCTCAAAGTAATAAAATGCCTAATGGTAAGTGGGAGTTTCCCTGTTAAAATATTACCATCCTGTATTTTTGTTTTTCTATAAATGAAATATTTGGGCAGTGAGGAGTTCTAAGTTAGCATGGAATTTATAAGAACCAAAACCTAGAGAAATCCCAGGTATCAAAGGCCTCTTTCTATGAAAACAACTCCAAAATAGAGGGCACTGTGTTCTCAAGATGAATTCCTGGTGTAGGAAAACTGAGCTGACTGGTGTGCTGGAGGACAGACCTGGCTATGCGTGGGCAGTAAAATGGCAGCCAAAAAATCTTGTTAGGCCAGTAAGACTGTAGTCTCCATTGTCTTTTGTCTTCAGCCTTCCAAAGACTGATCACCTTTGGAAAACAAAGGCAAGAGTAGACTATAAGCTCCTTAAAGACAAGCATCACCTCTTAATCATATTTGTCGTCTTCTCTACCCAGTACCTACACATAGGTATAGTATATGCTTAGTATAGAAAATGTTTGTTGAATGGAGTAAGCCAAAAACCAGAATTACACATAACACTGTTTGTATGCATGTGCACATGCACACATGTGTGCACTAGTGCTGTGTACGCACTGGTCTGTTAGAAGAAGTAGAAGTCACCAAAAACCCAGATCCTACCACTACTACTAGTTCTTTTAAAATATCTGGGCAATTATGGTAATCTTACACTTGTTTCTCAATTTTCTTTTAATTCTTATCAACATTAAATTAAGTACATTTTTTAGTCTATATCTGTTAATTCCAATTATTTTAAGTCTGTGCTGCAAACTGATTCTGCAATTTATTATTTCTTATTCCTACTGAACTTCACTCATGGTATCACTGTTGTGAGCAGTTTTTTGTTGTTAACTTACATTCCTTAGAATGTCATCTGTAGGAAGTCTTTGAGACCCCTGGGTTTAAGGTGTACTATTCTGCCAGAGAGGACAAGAAGGATAGTGCTGGTGTACCTGGGGACACTACTAACCTACATTTGCTTGATTCTAAAATTTTGATCTTGGCATTAGCCACAGAAGCAGTGAACAAAGCCCATAAACCTCTACAGATACACTCTTATGATAAAGAATTCATAATCACATAACTGAATTAAGAATAACTTGGACATATTTGTTCCCTTGAATTAAGATGGAGGCAGACAAATATTTCTGCTGCCTATAGCTTTTTATAAAGCTCATCTGTTTATTTTATTTACACAAAAAGAAACAGGCTATACTGAGCATGTACTTATTTTAGGAATCTAAAATAGTTCCAACAAAGCAATAATAATGTTTTCAATTTAATTTAGAAGTTATAAAGTAATAGTCACAATTTAATGAGCTTTTACTATTGCCAGTACTACTGTATTTGGCACATGGATTATTCCACTAAATCCTCATAATAACAATGTTATTATTATTACCATATTGTAGATGGAGAACGTAAGACACTTAAGTCACTTCTAAATGTCATGCAGCAAATATATGGTATAGCTGGGAATTGCTCAAAGCAAACTAACTGTGGATGTGGACAATTAGATTTCTACTAGTGCAAGAAGCAGGTCAAAATAAGAGTGATCACTCAAGGCCCCACACTGACTCTCCAACTATGGTAATGGTTGTGATGACTTTACACTTGCCCAGTACTTTGGTCTGGGCTTAAGAGTCCAGAAAATGCTCCAACCATAGAATCTAGTCAATGAGGAGCCAAGTGTCTAAACACTAGCCAGGTTTGCTCAAGGTCTCCCAAGGATTCCTTATATTACCTATTTTTTCTGTTATTTAATTGCTCTCTCTTCAGTCAAATCCCAGGTATTTCTCAAGACCTTGCTCAAGTCATAACTTCTCAGAAAAACCTTCCATAACTTCCCTACAAAATCTACAGAATTTAGTGTCTACAGGAGGAGTCATAAAGGCCTTTGGGCAAAGCAAGCCATGCCCATTGGTTACTTATTCTGTAGTCTATGGCTGCTTTTGTCTGACAGCAGAGTTTAACACTTAAAACAGAGACTGTACGGCTGACAAGCTTGAGATATTTACTATCCAGCCCTCTGCAGAAGTTTGCCAACTTTGGTCTATAATGAACACTCAATCATCATTTAGAATTCTTTTGTGGACTGGTATTTAATTTCTTACAAATTATGCTTACTTTCCCAAATAGAGCACAAAACCTTTGAAGCCAGGACATTATACTATACCCATGAATGCTCCACAGTGTCTAATCCAGTACTGTTCTCACACCACAGACCCTTAAATGGTGCTGATAACATCACTTACTCAGCGTCATTGAGCAACAGTCTCCTCCCTGGGCCTTACTGCTCATGTGAAACCAAGCCTCTCCCATTCTATGAGTGTACTCCCTTTCTGAGTCGACTTCTATACTTCTAATGCTGGGATGTACATCTAGAAAACTGGAAAATTAATTCACAGTAAAGCACTAAGAAGGCAGTTGGAGGGACTATAAAACTGCTGTTGTGGGAGGTAGGAAGACTAAGTAGACAAAAAATAAAAAGGAGGCAGACTTGTCCTGATAAGGACAGCAATTGCTGCTCTGGTGCTTTGCGCATTTATGAGAGGATCAAATGAGATTATAAAGGTGAAATCTCTTGGCAGTGGCCACCTTAGCAAGTGGTACAATTTCCACCCATTCTCAATGTGTCCTTTAACTTGTGCTCATTTGGAAACCTCCAAGGTCAACCAATATCACACTAAAACACTCCACAGAGAGCATGGTATATGGTAGCAACACTGGGATTAGGCAGAAAAAACACCTCAAGGATTATTTTTGAGGTTGACCTTGATCAAATGTTTAACCCTTTTTTGAGTGTGTTTCTCATCTGCAACATTAAGCTGATAATATTTGTTGTTACAAAGCAACTTAGAAAACGAATGTGAAAGTAAACCACAAATCTCCTCATATAAATATAAGACATTGCTTCCATTCATTTATGAAAGAAATGTGTTTGAATTCCTACTGCAATGCCAAGTACTTTTCTAGGTTTCAGGAAAAACGTGATGAACAAAAGAAAGGCCAACCTCTCATGGGGTTTACTGTCCAGCTGGGGATAATAAGAAATTAATTATAATTGTCTGGTAGTGGCAAATGTTATTTAAAAATTCTAGCAGGCTAAATCTATATAAGGTGAAGAGGGATGTTACTTTAAATAGCAGTTAGGGGACGGTCTCTCTGATGAAGGAAGCAGAGACATGAATAAAGAAGGAGCAGCCATGAACCATCTGACTGAAGAACATTCTGAGCAAAAACCAGTTAGCACCAAGAACCTGATATGGAGGCATGGAGACAGGCCAGTGACAGTGGACTAGCATTGTATTTAGCCTTGGTAGGGGGGGAGGGGGCGTTGAAAACATGGGATAGGTCTATTATCAGCCAGTGCATGGGAAGTTCAGACCGGTGAAAGAGAAAAGAAGAGAGGACCAGAGAAGTAGACAAAGGGAAGTGAGAAGGGTCACTTAGGAGGATAAAGTATTTTTAAGAGGTCAAGAGCACAAACACATAGCCATTTTAGGAAAGTCAGTTTAGTCAAAGTTGAGGAAAAATAAGAGAAAGAAAGTTGGGCATGGGTGCACGCCTGAATCTTAGTGAGGAGGATCCCAAGTTCAAGGGCAGCCTCAGCAATTTAGCAATGCCCTAACCAACTTAGTGACACCCTGTCTCAAAACCAAAAAAAAAAACCTTAAAAAGTGACAGGGGACTGGGGATATAGCTCAGGGGTAAAGTGGTAGAGCACTCCTGGGTTCAAATGAGAACAGGTGCAAATGGTCCAGGTGTGAGGTGAGTAAGGCTGGGTACAGGGTAAGATATATAGTGTAGCTATGGAAAGGGGTAGATGGTGAGGTAAACCACCAAGCGATGTTCATACACTATCTGCCAAACACATCAGAGAACATGCATAGTAATGTCATTTTGGCAAAACCACTTAAGATGTAAGCCAAAGATTTGTTACCACTGCTTATAATCTTCAAATATTTCAGTTCTTTGAGAGATCAATTTTGTCAAACCTTACTTCCCAACCTATGAGCTATTAAAGCTGTCACTCTCAAATTCTGCACATAGTTTTAGCTAAAACATCTAGAAAGCCACCACTAGTGACTTCATCATGTTCTCCCAAATGGGTACAGCACTGAGGCACTGTAGAGAATTTATTACAACTAGGAAACTTGGATGAACACAGGCCTTCAAACCTGTACTTCCAAAAATGGGACAAGTATATTCATCCTATTTTACTTGATGAGTCTTCTGAC